TTCCTATATTCGTTTATTTTTTCTTTTATTTGGATGAGTGTGTGGATGTGGTCTGTTGTTGAGAATCCACTGCGGAAGCCTGCCTGTTCTCTAAGCTGGTTAAAATTCAAACTGTCAGAGATGCGAGTTGTGATAGCTTTTGTGAACAGTTTGTAAGTACTCAAAGCAGCCTTACGGGTCGGTAGTGTTTTAGATCCTTTTTATCCCCTTGTTATGTATCAAAATAATAATTGCATATTTCCAGGCTTTCGGAGTCTTTCCGTTGAGGCATTTGTTAAAAAGATTGGCTAGTTTCACTGTTGCAATTTCTCCTGCATCTATTTTAAGGTCTACACTAATTCCGTCTACACCCTTCCTATGCACCCCTGACCAGCGACCCCTGTGAACGCATTGCTGCTACCTTCCACCGTTACCCGAAAGAGATAGCAGCCTGTTTCCCGGAGGCAAATCTCTACCAGAGGTTCAAGTTCATCATCCCTCGACTTCCTCATTTCTATGGGCTTCCTAAAATCCATAAGCTGACCGTGCCTCTGTACTCCATCATCTATGTCGACGACGTCTTTGCTCTCTGGCCTCATGACCCTGCCATGTTCTTGGATTTCCTGACGCAGCTGAACTCTCTCTCCTTCCGTCCGTTCCAATGTGGAATGGTAGGTTGACAACAAGCTCCCTTTCTTGTACACCTTAGTTCATCGCTCTGCTGACCACTTTTCCTTATACATATACAGGAAGCCTATGTATAATGGTATGAACATACACTTCTCATACCACCCTCTCCATGTAAAGAGAAGTGTTGCCACCTCGTTGTACATTGAGGAGATCTACTCTCTCTGTCTCCCTCTTCATCCTCTCAGCTGCAACTGCATATATATGATATCTATCTATCTATCTATCTATCTATCTATCTATCTATCTATCTATCTATCTATCTATATATATATATATATATATATATATATATATATATATATTGTAACAACTCCCCTTGTAGTACAGTGCAGTACAGTGTAGGTTGATAGTTTATGTAAAATTAAGTTTTAAGATGTCTAGGGGAAGCAGCGGAATAATTACAAGTAATGAGAGTAGTTTATATTAAAGCTTATAATTGAATTTCAAGTATATATCTTGAAGTTCGTAAAGTTTGCAGCTTTTATTATTTTTTTGAATTTATACGTTTATGAATAATCAAATGTATTTTTGAATCACTAGTTATTATGAAGTCCTTATTTCTATTATATCTATTAGTAGCAGACTTATTGAAGTATTCCTTATTTTCTATATTACGTGAATCATCCAGTATTTTTCATTACAATTAGATGATTCTCATTTAACGTTTCATAGTAGTCTTAGGTTATCTTCTCACAGTAGGTTTATTTAAATTGAACAATATTTCACAAGTTTAATTATTTCATTAATTATATAGCACACAACAAAATCATTAAACATTATACAAAATGAAAACTTATTATTGATGATAAAAAAAATTCTTTCGCAATTCTAACGGCGATTTAATACCTCGTTTCCCCCCCAGAAAGCCGGATTACCGCATAATAATAATTACATCACTTATTTCCTTCATGTTTCACCTTCATGTAGACTGCTGCGCCCGCGCTTCGGAACCTCGGATTCGCGAATCCTCATGCTCAACGCACTACTTTCGAATGCACTTTTTTTATTATCATTTTGGTACGCACAGACCGCGAATTTGGAGAGATTGTAATTATATATATATGCATATATATATATATATATATATATATATATATATATATATATATATATATATATATATATATACGTATGTATGTATGTATATATATGTAAGTGTGTGTATGAGTGTATGTATGTATATATATATAATATATATATATATATATATATATATATATATATATATATATATATATATATATATATATATATATATATATGTATATAAATAAATAAATGAATATATATATATACATACATACATACATATATATATATATATATATATATATATATATATATATATATATATATATATATATATATATATATATATATATTCATTGCTGAATTGCCGTGGTCCTCCAAGCATCTCTATTCTGTGAGAGTCTACAAATTTCAGCAGAACTCGAGCCGCTGATCTCTTTGATGTTATCGCTACAGCGTGTTTTATGTCTACCTTTTTTCTCTTGCCATAGACACAGCCTGTTAGAAGATCTTTTTCTAACAAATTGCTTCTCAAAATAGAATATTTTTTCATTGCCAGCCTGATATATATATATATATATATATATATATATATATATATATATATATATATATATATATATATATATATATATATATATATATATATATATATATATATATATATATATATATATATATATATATATATATATATATATATATATATATGTATCTTGTATGAAGAGGTAGACTAACACAGTCGTGAATAATTTCATTTTATTAAACGTTTCGAAGGTGAATTCTAGACCTCCGTCATCAGTAAACTGTCAAAAAAACATTGAAAAAGTCATTTGGACAATTATGGATATGGATATTTGGGTTCTGAACAAATTACAAATACGTAAAAATAACTAAGAACAGTATATGCATAAACGTAATGAAATCATAAAAAAACGACGTACAATGTATGTCGTTATATATGTATATATATATATGTGTGTGTGTGTGTGTGTGTGTGTGTGTGTGTGTGTGTGTGTGTGTGTGTGAGTGTGTGTGTGTGTGTGTGTGTGTGTGTGTGTGTGTGTGTGTGTGTGTGTGTGTGTGCGTGTGTGTGTGTGTGTGTGTGTGATGTGTGTGAGTGTGAATGTGAGTGTGTGTGTGTGTGTGCGTGTGTGTGTGTGTGTGTGTGTGTGTGTGTGTGTGTGTGTGTGTGTGTGTGTGTGTGTGTGTGTGTGTGTGTGTGTATGTGTGTGAGTGTGAATGTGAGTGTGTGTGTGTGTGTGTGTGTGTGTGTGTGTGTGTGTGTGTGTGTATGTGTGTGTGTATGTGTGTGTGTGTGTGTGAGTGTGTGTGTGAGTGTGAGTGTGAGTGTGTGTGTGTGTGTGTGTGTGCATGTATCTTAGTCAGATGGGTAACATAGCAATTCAACAGAGATATATTTGGTAGATAGTGATAAAAAATGTTTTTTTTTTTACGTTTTAGAAGTTTTTTTTTCACCTCAGTTATTTCTGTTACTGTTAGATATTATTTCGTAAAGAGATCTCCACCGTAGTTCTCCGAAACGTTAACAGGAATACATAAAGACCATTCAAATGTCATAATTTTACTTTGATTAAATTACGGCAACTTCGAGGATCATTAGAGTTCGTGGCAGAAAGCTTTCATAGTTGATGTGTGCTCATGCAGAAATAATGCCAATGGTAATACTGCGCAGTGCGAATCATACGCCGATCAGCTGCCTACCACTCAGTATCACAGGGAACAGTCCATCTACCTAATTCGATAAATAAAGTCCAGTTAAGACTAGGAGCGAGCTTAGATGGGGAGGCCGTAGCTCTGCGAGATGACGTCAGTGGCTTCGCGGCCGCTGTTCCCGAAGCCCTCCGAGGACCCCTGGGCGCCGGCGTCTCCGCTGCCCGAGCCGAAGGCGCCGCCCTCGGCTCCGACGCCACCAGCGCCGCTGCCTCCGAAGGCGACTGCGAAGTCGACGCCTCCCGAGGACCCCTCAGAGCCAAACTGGACTTCGCTCGAGGAGTCTTGAGCGCCAGACTGGAAGCCGGCTCCGTGGGTGCCAGCAGAGGAGCCCTGGACGCCGACCGCACCGCCGTGAGTGCCAGCGGAAGACCCCTGAACGCCAAGAGCTGCCCCGTGGGTGCTGCCGGAAGACCCCTGGACGCCGACCGCACCGCCGTGAGTGCCAGCGGAGGAACCCTGGAAGCCGACCGCGCCTCCTTGGACGCCATCCTGGAAGCCGGTTGAAGATGCGACGCCCTGGGCACCAGCGGCTCCAAGACCGTCGGATCCAAAGGCAACAGAAGCGGCTTGGCCATCAGAAGAGGCGCCAGCAAGAGCGCCAGAAGAGGTGCCAGCAGAGGTGCCAGCAAGAGCACCAGAAGAGGTGCCAGCAGAGGCGCCAGCAAGAGCACCTGAAGAGCCGCCAGCAGACGATCCTAGGCTTCCAGCAGAGTGAGAGCCGAATCCTCCGGCGCCGCCAGTGAGAGATCTGAAATGTGCCAAAGTCTTTAACATATCCATCTCTCTCTTCGTTAAAAGACAACTTGAAAGGGTTTAATGCTAATATAAATCATGAACATGGGTTTTATGCACAACACAGACTTAGAAACAAGGTTCACATTACGCTAAGTTTCCATGAACACAACCACTTACATCTAATCTTTCGTCCCATGAGAAAGTGTTCTTACCCGGAGAAGGAATTCGACGAAGAGCTATCCGACGAAGACGAAGCCGAGTTGGAGGAGGACGTGTCGAAGTTTAACTCGGGGGACGAGAAACTGGTGGAGGACGACTCCTGGTTGGAGGACGAGGCGGAGTTGGACGAGGACGAGCTAGACTGGAAGGTGAAGGTCTGTCCCGGCGCGACGTGGGGCAGCTGGTTCGGGAGGCCCTGGTAGGTGGGGGCGGCGCAGCACATCCCGGCCAGGGCGAGCATCACGATTCCCACGCGCACTGAGGGAAAAAATAGAGATTGTCAGCCATTCTCAAACACTTACAAATTTCCCTCTCTTCCCTACGCAGGAATAGATAGCGATGGCAAGCTTAGCGATTAACAACATAAAAATAGGTTTAAAGTCTGACTATGTGAAAGATAATAACCCCATAAAGTTATATCTAACTTTTGTGAATTATCTGGGAATTATTTATGTTATATATATATAATGTTTTGCTTGACTATACTAAATAGGTGGTAGACGATGGCGTTCCTAGATCACTTCAGATTTTCCGTAACAATGTGTAATCCACAATATCCTGAACAGCAGAATCAGATCCAAGTCCAACACTAGACGATATTTTCTGTTCCA